GAGATCCAGTAGTTTCAGACAGAATCTGTGTAGGTACTCTCCTATTTTGAAGGAATTTTAAAGGACATTAAGGAAAGGAGGTGGCGAATCACTTATAAATGGCACCCAAGCAGGACCTGAAGCCCAAGTTCCAGGAGGGTGAGTGAGTACTGTGCTTTCCCAGCCCTCTTCTTTATGAAGCACAGTGTGTAAGGTTGCCATAAAGGACAAACAAGTAAAGTACTTTATACACTACAGTGGTTGGAATAAAAATTAGGATGAGTGGGTTCCAGAAAGCAGAGTGCTCAAGTGTGTGGACAGCAATCTGCAGAAACAGCATGAACTTCAAAAGGCCAATCAGGAGCAACATGCAGAGGGAAAGATGAGAGGGGCTGCTCCAGGGAAGAAGACATCTGGTCTGCAGCAGGAAAATGTGGACGTGAACACTAAAAAGAACAAACAGAAAACCCCTGGTAATGGAGATGGTGGCAGGACCAGTGAGACACTTCAGCCTCTTTGGAAGAAGAGGGCCTGTGTTGATGATACTGTTGAAAATGAAGAAACATTCATGAACAGAGTTGAAGTTAAAGATCCCTGAAGAGCTAACGCTGTGACTTTTTGATGACTGGGACCTAATTACCAGACTGAAATATCTCTTCTATCTTCCCACCAAGAAGAATGTGGACTCCATTCTAGAGGACTATGCAAATTGTAAGAAATCTCAAGGAAACACAGATAATAAGGAGTATGCTGTTAATGAGGTTGTAGCAGGGATAAAAGAATACTTCAGTGTGATGCTGGGCACTCAGCTTCTCTACGAGTTTGAGAGACCCCAGTACACTGAGGTCCTTGCTGGTCACCCTGATGCACCCATGTCCCAGGTGTAAGGAGCACCACATCTACTGAGATTATTTGTACGAATTGGAGCACTGTTGGCCTATACACCTCTGATGAGAAGAGCCTTGCATTATTACTGAATTATCTTCATTGTCTATGGCCATACCACCCTGAACACACCCGATCTCCTCTGATCTTGGAAACTAAGCAAGGTTGGGCCTGGTTAGTACTTGGAAGGGAGACTGAATTATCTTCATGATTTCCTCAGGTATCTAGCAAAGAATTCGGCAGCTTTGTTTAGTGCCAGTGAGTATGAAGTGGCGCCTCCTGAGTACCATCAGAAAGCAGTGTGAGGCGCACTCACCAGTGTTTGGATCTCTGTCGACATGTTTTTGTTCCTAGTCTTTCTCTTGTACAAGTGATATACTTTGAAGATGTTAGCATATAACAGAGTTGGTATTTATTTTGTTTGATTTTAAACAAAGGGTTATAATTCCTTTTTTCTTTTTCTTTTTCTTTCTTGGTTTTTTTTTTTTTTCCATTTCAAAGTTGCTACCAGTGTATTCAGTGATGAACAACAGAGAGACATGATGGAGTGTTTTATTGCCTAGTCAACAAAGCTGCTTTTGAATGCTGGTGGTTGTATTCCTTTAACACTACGCACTTTTATAATATGTGTTAATGTGATATGACAAAATGCTCTGATTCCTAGTGCCAAAGGTCCAATTCAGTGTGTATAACTGAACAAACACATCCATTTGTGCTTTTTTTTTTTTAAATGGTACTTAAAGAGCACTTCCTTGGCAAGTCATCCATGTTGTTCCTTAGGCATTTACCTTTGCTCAAATTGTTGAAGGATGGTTAATTGTTTCATGGTTTTTGTATTTGTGTCTAATGCATATTTTATTTTTTTATTTTTTATTTTATTTATTTATTTGCGGAATCGGGGATTGAACTCAGACCCTTGCACTTGCCAGGGAAGTGCTTATTCTACTGAGCCATCTCCCCGGCCCAAAATCTTGGGTTTTTTTTTTTTTTTTTCTTTTTTCTTTTTTTGGCAGAACCGGAGATTGAACTCAGTACCTTGCGCTTGCTAAGGAAGCGTTAATTCCACTGAGCCATCTCCCTGGCACCCCTAATGCACATTTTAACATGACAGATGCAATGTATTATATAGCTACAGTTTTCTGGAAAAGTTAATCTTTTAAATTTCAAAAACAAAGGACATTAAGGTTACAAAAAGTGTTCATGTTAAAGGGTAGCTAGGATGCTACCAATGAAAATAATAAACTTTAGCAGAGTGGGAAAGCTTAGAAAGATTAGTAATGTTCAGTGTTGGCAAGGATGTAGAGGCAAGAATAGACACTCTTGGGACTCTTAGTACTTTTGGTGGTTGTATAAAAGAATGCATTGAGAACACTCTGCTCTGATAGAACCCTTCAAAATTAAAATATGTGTAACCCTTCAACTTAGCAGTTCTCCTTCCCTCCTTTCTTTTCCTGTCTGTGTTCCTCTCTTGTCTCTGTGAGATGGGATCTTGTTATACAGACCAGGCTGGCCTCAAACTCAAGGTGATTTTCCTGCCTTAGCCTCCTAAGTGCTGAGATTACAGGTGTACATCACCGTTGCCGGCCCCTTTCTTTCTAAAATTACTGTCCTCTGTATCAGTTGTGCTCTGAAAAACTTAATGCATCTACTATAGTTGGTTTATTTTTGACTTTTTGAGATAGGCCTTCACTGTGCGGTTCACATGCCTGAGATCGCAATGCCAGGTCATTCAGCTTCCAACCTAATAATCTGGTCAGTAGTAATGATAGTGTTAATACTAACAGCCTTCCATACTTATTATTTGCCATATGCCAAGTAATATGCTAACCATGTGCAAAATCTCATTTAATCTTCACAGTTTTTCTTTCCTTAGTTTAATAGAAATAAAGGCAGAGAGGAGCTTGTTCAGTTGTCTTCAAATGCTTTTCCATCCTTTTCCATTTGTTATTTTAGGTTCCCAATGGACCTCTCTCTCCCAAGGTCAGTGAGAGCTGCTTTATTGCTTTGTCTCAGGTACCAAAGAGTGGAGTGTGTGAGAGAACCCTACCCTCCTCCCCTTCCGTTTTCAGTATTGGGACTTGAACCCAAGGAGCACGGAGCTACATCTCAAACCCTTTTTGAATTTTTTTTTTTTTTTTGAAACAAGGTCTCACTGAGTTGCTCAGGTTGGCCTCAACTTTGATATCCTCCTGCCTCAGCCTTCTGAGTAGCAGGGATTATAGTTATATAAAGCCATAACCAGTCAGTTCTCTTTCTAAATAGCAATCCTAATATTTGAACATGCCTGAAAGTTGAAAATTTGAAATAAATTGTGAACTATAAGTAAACTACAGCTGGGTGTGGTGACGCATGCCTGTAATCCCATCACTCAGGAGGCTGAGGCAGGAGGATCACTGAAAGTTTGTCAGTGCAGGCTACATAGTGAGTTCAAGGCCAGCCTGAACTACATAGTGAAAGCCTATCTGAAAAAGTCAAAAATAAACTATAGTAGATGCATTAAGTTTTTCAGAGCACAACTGATATAGAGGACAGTAATTTTAGAAAGAAATGGGCCTGGAGTGGTGATGTACACTTGTAATCTCAACACTTGGGAGGCTAAGGCAGGAAAATCACCATGAGTTCGAGGCCAGCCTGGGCTACATAGTGAGCTTGAGGCCAACCTGATCTGTATAGCAAGACCCTGTCTCATAGAGACAGGAAGAAGGAAGGAATAAATGACAGTGCTTAAACGATAAAACTAAGAACTTTGATGAAATAAATTTAAATGTATAAAGCCTTATTTCTGAGAGTCTTGAGAGAAGTGTTCTGTACACCAGCTTCTGTGGGATGGCTTTTTTTCAGCAAGTCTATTAAACACAAAGTTGTGTATATGTGAATCTTGTGTAAAAAGTTTAAATTCTTTAACTTTAAAAAAGTTAAAGCATTATAAAAGACAGTTGAAAACTGCACAGACTGGCATAAACCCCCAAACCAGGACACTGATGCATACACACAAAAGGCCAGGAATAGGTCAGGCTGTTCCTAGGGTTCAGACAACATAACTAAGCACCCAGTTTGTCCTTTCCACTTTTCATCTCTTTTTCTCACTTTGGCCTTACCCTAACAGCTTCTTCTTATCATCCCAAGTCTGTATGCTTCCGTGTTCAAGTTAGAGAACTATGTATGTGTAACTCCCAAAAGACCCCGCACAATCTCACTGCATCTGTCTTCCTCCTGGATGGGTCACATTCTCGTCCTCACTCAGTGTCTGCTCACCAACTAGCTCAGGTCTATTAAATCAGGAGGTCGATACATGTCCACCAGGAGCACAGGGGCCAAGAATGGGGAAGGGGACAGTCACACAAAGGCAAATGAGGGTGCGTCACCAGAGGAGGGATACATGGGTACTGCCCTGCAGGTTGCAGGCAGCCAATTCTATAAAATATTTATATTGCTAAGAATAATGAGCAAAGCCCTTAGACTAATGTGTTGTGGCCTCATAAAATCCCGTTAGAGTCCTACTTGTATCAGTACTATTTGCAGAGTAAGATTCAGTTTACTGATTAATGAATGCTTGTTTAGCCGATGACTGAGTTCTCACGAAGCTTGAAGAAACCAGTGTTAGGATCATTGACCCCTTAGGCTAGTAGACCAAAGCACCTTCTTGATCACTCACTGGCCCTCTCATTTCTTAGAGAAATGAAAGGATGGAGAAGCCATATAACTTGCTTGAGATCACAATGGCAGGTCATTCATCTTCTAACCTAATAATCTTGTCAGTAGTAATGATATTGTTAACAATAATAACCATCCATAATTGCCAAGTAATATGCTAAACATTACTTGTGCAAAATCTGTCTTCACAGTTGTCCTTTCTTTAGTTTACTAGAAATAAAGGCAGAGAGGAACTTGTTCATTTGCCTTCAAATGCTTTCCCATCCTTTTCTACTTGTTATTTTAGGTTGCCAATGGGCCTTTCTCTCCCAAGGTCAGTGAGAGCTGGTTTATTGTTTTGTCTTAGGTAATAAAAGATGAAGTGCGTGGAGAACCTATTGTGTATGCCCTCATGTGGCCCTCACGAAGTCCCAGGGTTTATAATGCTCCATTTAAACCTAACATTGTGAGATGCGGTCTTTAATTTCTTTGTCTTTAAACAGGTGCTTCCAGAGAGTCAATGCAAGGCATTCCTTATTATTTACAAATCAATGAAATACTTCTAATCAGCGATCAAGAATTTCTTCCATGTCATTTAATGGATCAACATTGGAAATTCTATGCGGAACATGAGGAACTAACATTCTAAAGAAGCTTTGGTTGCTTAATTTTTCAGTATTTGTTCATGTTATCAACAAAGCTTCATCTTTTATCTTGTGTAATGGACTTGCTTTTTTTTTTTTTTTTTCTTCCTTTTTTAAAATGTATTTAGCACAGGATCTACAGGATCTCACTATGTAGATCAGACTCCTAGTGATCCTCCTGTTTTCAGCCTCCCAAGCCCTGGGATTACAGGCGCGCACCACCACACCCAGTCTCTATGAAGTCTCAGCGCGTCCTGGGGTCGGGGCCTGCACGCCTCAGCTGCTGCTCTCCACCTAAGGCGCTTTAGTCCCCAAGCTATCTGGTAGATTTGTTTAACATACACTTCATATGTTGCAACTTAAGATGTATGTTTACTGTTAAAGGAAAAATACAACTCTTTCAACTGGTATTTTTCCATTGAAATAAAGACATTTCTGAACTAGACTGTATTGGCTCTTGGAGTTTCCTTTTACTCATACAAACTTGAAACTAGCCTTCCAGTCCGTGCTTCTACCTTTGCATTAGTAACAGTTGTTCCCCAAGGAAAATAAGGACACAAGGAAGAGTGCTTCATGGATAACTGTCCCAGAAAAGACCCAGGTAAAGTGAATCTACTTAAAACAAGAACTTAAAAGTTCTAGTATCTCTCCCCACTTACTTTGATATTTATTTCAAAAATTAAATGTAAGGGGCTGGGGAGATAGCTCATTAGAATAAGTGCTTGTAGGCGTGGGAGATGGCTCAGTAGAATAAGCGCTTCCCTGGCAAGTGCAAGGGCCTGAGTTCAATCCCTGGTTCCACAAAAAAAAAAAAAAAAAAGAGTAAGTGCTTGCCTGGCATGCACAACAGTCTGAGTTCAGTCCACCAAAAAATAAATGTAAAAGGATGAAATGTACATTGTTTCATAAAATATAGTGTAGATAGAATTATAATTGTGAAAAAAAAAAGAATTATAATTGTGCTTAGCCTTAGAACAAAGGATGAATTGAGTGCTTATTTGGTTTTTTTTGTTGTTGGGTTTTTTGTTTGTTTGTTTTTTATAGTACCGGGGATTGAACTCAGGACCCTGTACTTGCCAGGCAAGCGCTTATTCTACTGAGCTATCTCCCCAGGCCCCTTATTTGGGGTTTTCAAAAATATACTTCACTTTTGACTTTTGCTACATTGTCATAAAAATTTAAAAACTGTATCAAGATATTTATCAAGACTCTTACAGGGCTGGGAATATAGCTTGGCGGTCTAAGTGCCTGTCTGGCAAGCACAAGGACCCAGGTTCAATCCCCGGTACCGTATGCTATGATGGCCCCACACTGAGCTGTGCCAGCCACTGAAACCAGGGGCGGTGGCATATGTATGTAATCTCAGCACTGGTGAGGCTGAGACAGGAAGATCACAACGAGTCTGAGCTACATAGCAAGACCCTATACCAAATAAATAAATATTTTTTTAAATTAAAAACTCCATGTTTGATAACCAAGTTCTTCTTTGCTCATCTTTTATTATCCCAGGTTTCCAAATTTCCTGGGATAGTGTTTGATTTGCTCGTCTTACTCCCTTTTCCCTTATTTGAGTAAAGTGAAAATGGCAATAAAACATGCCACAATCTTCTTTGTATATGGGAAAAGAAGAATCTGGTGCCACTTTTATATATTTTCTCATAGTAAATGCAGAGAATATCAAGAAATGTCTTTGGAGTATACAAAAGCTAATGGTTAACTGGGGGGCGGGGGAGGTTATAGGGCTGGGAAACAGGAAAGAAGCACCGCCCCTCCTCCTTTTGGCAGTAGAGAGAACTGCCCCAGAACCTCACAGCAAGCCACCGCCCAGGCATTTTTATTACCATTTTGACACAACTCAGTCCCTAAGTTGCTAAGTTTCGCAACTGGATTTGAACAGGGAATCCTCCCACCTTGGTCCAGCCAGGAACATCTTTTGCAGCTTTTGAAACTCATTTCTGTTCTGATAAAAAAAATATCTGAAAAAAAGCACTAAGAAATGTTAGCTTATTAATCAAAGCGTGAAGATATTAAATCATTTTCTTCCATTAAGGATCTGATAAAATGTTAAGAATAGAATAATCCTACATGTTGTAATGTTTGAGAACTTAAAAGTTTATTTTGTCATTGCTTCCTTAGAATATTGTCCTAGTTTATAATAAATCATATATTTGATTTTATTAAGAAAATACTTAAAATTTGTGCTATTTGAGAATATATGTGCTGACTATATTTGAAAAATGAAGATTTGTTGGCCAATTAATGCAAATCTTGGCACTATTAAAAATTACATAACTAGGTCTATGTCTAACATAACCATTCAGGTATAAACACCATAATAGAAAGTTTTCTATGTATGGGCTGGAGAGGTGGCTCAGTGGTCTAAAGCACCTACTTGAAACAAGCTTGGCAAAGCACAGGGACCGCGGTTCAATCCCCAGCACCACATGCCAGCCAGCCCCGCCCCCTGGTGGGCTGAGCTGGCCACACACACACACAATAAATAAGTGTAATAAATAAAAATAAATAAATATTTTAAAATAAAAAAAAAAAAGAAAAGAAAGTTTTCTATGTATAGCTATGAAAAGGTGTATTTGTATCAAGTGAGCGGGGTTGGAGATTAATTATAATTTACAAAAGTCATACATTCTAAGTTCTAGTACAAGAGGTCTTGTAATTCTGAGCTTTCATTGTAGTGATCAGTTCTTAATTTTCAAGGATGGTTCTTGTACACCAGTCCGTGGCTGACAACGCCCACTGCCCTTTGAGGAAGGAAGTGTGACTTTTAAAAGATACAGTGTATATTTACGTTTAAAAAAAAAAACTTACAGTGAAAGACACATTGCTCCTAATCACTCATAATCTTCCCCCTCAATTCAAACAAGATTGTTTTTGTTTCTTTGCTTTTTCTGCTGCTTGTGGTACCGGGGATTGAATTCAGGACTTTGCACTTGCCAGGCAGGCTCAGACAAGCTTGTTCCAGTGTCCTTGCCCCTTCCTAAAGCAGTTCTGGAAGTCCTTGGCAAGTGTCTTCAGTTGCACTGTCTGGCCTGCCTGGATTCTTGAACGCGTGGCCATTTTGACTTCAGGCAAGAACCAGAAGTCGCAGTCTTTCCAGGTCAGCAGTAGCATTCATTGTACTTTTAGACACACTTTATAAAGATACAAGAGAAGACTTCCAGAACTGCTTCAGAAAGTGCCCAAAGCAATGGAGTAACTGTTCAAAGCAAAGGGAAATATTTTGAGGAAGATTAATAGCAATGTGTTTTGTATTGTACCAAATTCTACAATTTAAGTATTCATAGTTTTCCATCACCTCTTGTGTGCTTTTACACTAGATGACAAAAGGGCATACTCCAACAAACACTGGAAAGAATTACCTTAACCTGAATCTTATCTGTGAGAACACTGGATAATTTAGTATGTTTACTAGAAGTTTTACCCATTCTGAGTTCTTAAAACCTTTTAGCTTCTGGTCCCAAGCAATAGATGGTACTTTAAAGAATATCTAATAAATCTTCTGAGTCATATTTGCGTCTTCGCTTTTTCTTCACCATCTCGTGGGTACTTCATACTCACCAAGAAAGCCTATTCCCTTTCAGACCAGAGTGTTAAGTATTAGAAAAAAAACTGGAAGCTGTAATGTTCTAGGCCTCCTAACCCTCTTATGAAACACTAATATTTGCTTTTGAAAAGCCACATTATGGCACAAGGTTCCACTGATTTCTGGAAATGCGTAAGGGTACATATTTTTGCTTTTTCGTTCAAGTCTTGGCTCAAGTGTAGTCCTTCTCAGTCCCTGCATAGATTATACACAGTAACTCTAACCCATTCTACTAGCTTTTTTTCCCTACAAAACATCAGTAGCAAAGTGCTACCAGTTTATTCTTAAAGGTCTTATGATACTTCCCTGCAGCTGCAAGAGTAAAATCTAGGCCCCGCATGTCAGGTTACCTACTATCTCGTCCAATGAAAGCTTCCAAATTAATCTAATGGGACCCAGGGAGGTGGCTCAGTAGAATAAGTGCTTCCCTAGCAAGCGCAAGGGCCCGAGTTCAATCCCCAGTTCCACAAAAAAAAAAAAAAAAAAAACTTCCAGTGATCTCTTGTTTTCTTTTTAATAGTTTATTGGTACATTTTAGGTATACATAATTATCGCATTCATCATAAGATCTAACTCTTAAACATCTATTTCATACTTGTTATGGGCTGCATTGTGTTACACCTCTAAAATACTGAAGCCCTAACCATATATACCCCAGACTATGGCTATATAGGAGTATTTGAAAAACACAGTAAATAAACATTTGAGCTATATTATAGTAAAAGAAACACTCATTAATTTTCCTCAGAATATTCCCTCTGGCTTATTCCATGATTCTTGTCACTTTTTGATGCAGTTCTGGATGTCCTCTTTATGTCTGTCATCGCTGCCTCAACGCCTTGATTCTAGTGAGAATGTTAGCCTTTCATGGTCATTTTGAGGAAGAGTGAAAAGTCACAAGCAGTCACATAGTGCCTGTCTAAGTGAGGTGTATGAGGATACACCAGTGTTTTTACGAGTGTTTCCATTGGCTTGCACTCCACTCTCCATTCACCCTCCCCTGCTTTTTAATCACACCTCATAAAGGCGCTGTCTTGGTTAATTTTTTTAATTGCTAAGACTAAATACCCAACACCCAAAGTTAAAGAAGAAAAGGTTTATTTGCTCATGGTTGTAGCAGTTTCAGTTCATATTTGGCTGGATCCCAGGCAGAGCAGCATGGCAGAGGGGCATCACAGAGGACAAACAGTCTGTGACAAGGCAGGGCAGGGAGAAGGCAGCAAGTGACAACCTTAGTTTTCTTTATATACCAGCCAAACCACCTGCCCTGAGGGCAGATAGCTCTGAAACCCAGGGCAGGACACCATTAATCCTCCTCACTACTATGCCAAAGCAATCAGTGGACTAATGTTATAACCACACATGTTGACCTGAGCATCACACACAAGATCGAGCTACCTCTGA